TATATATATATATTTTTTTTTTTTTACAATAAACTGTAATCTGCAATTACAGTTGACAATATCAGATTTATTGTCCAGGTTTGGTCTTATCGTCCAACCCTTTTTGACCAAAGATCTACTTTTCAAGCAGGCAGCCTTCCGCCATCGACCCGTCCCTGCACATGTATGCAGACACACACGCATGCCACCATGAACAACAGCCATAACGGACCCAAACATGAACGAAACAGAAAAATAACCAAGTTACAAGACTGAGTATATTCAAAGTAAATCATTGCGTGCCTTAGTGGAAGACCTGACACAGATAGGAAGGGACACGCGTTTGTAGTGCGTTAAGTGCAGAAACATCATGATCGTAGCTTGCGTATACCGTTTTAAAATGCTAGCGCTGGCACCCCAGAACCCCATTCTTTCACAATGCCATTGGTGCATTGCAGATCAAACAAACTTGGAATGAGAATTGCACACTACTGACTGCTAACTTCCTGTGATGCAGGTGACCATTTTTTCTAAAAAAAAAAAAAAAAAAAAAAAAAAAAAATGTAACTACTTTTTTATGGATATGAAACTGATAGGATGCTTACAGTGCAGTGTAAACTAAACACAAAATAGATAATATCAATAACGCGTGCACACACACACTATTTTTTTTTCTTTCTCTATTTGCCATCACACTCCCCTGGGGTTGACTTGGGACCAGTCCGCGGACTACCGCTCGACCAGGAGCCACTGGTTGGGCACTAATGTCTAATAGACTTAGGCTAAAATAAAAGGTGAATGAACCATTACTTAGATGAACGACAATTTCTTTACCTACTTCAGTTAGACCTGTTAATTGACTAAACGCTTTGACTTTGCAGTCTTTGAAGCGTTCAATAGGACAGCTTCACAAAATTCTAACAAATGAGCGTGGCGTAAGTATTAGTCATTAAGTGAAAAATGCAAATAACTATCACTTCAAATTTTTTCATGTCTCATCAAACAATGTAATGTACACAGGTGAACTGCTCTGATTCAGCAATGAACTTATCTGGACACCATATAAGCAATACAATTGACCAAATGAGGCATTTTACTCATCATGCGAAACGAAAATTGCACTCTTGTACATTCAAATGTCAATTTGTATTCGATGAATTGTTCTTGTGAACAGCGGCTTGTGCGCCATTCCGATCGATGAGTGACACACACATTAAATAATACGATGTTATAATGTCTGCTCAGAAGCATACAATTAATCATCGTCCACCCGTGAAGATACGTACAGCATCATGTTAAATCAACTCCGAAAAAAAAAAGCCATCTGCTCCTCCTCCTCCTAGCTTCCTTTAGCATCAATGATGGTTGAGAGGGATCTGTTGCATGAAGTAAATGAGAAAAGAGACTAATGGGAAGGTTGGCGGGGGGACTTGCGTGCAGTCGAGCAGCGACGGGGAACCTTTTAAAAAGTCCTCTGAGGGCCGTGCAAAATTGTTGACAACATGATGTCACATTCCACTACCAGCGTTTGTAAATTAAACATTTTTGTCCTTTGTTTGCCCATTTTACGGCAGGCGGCGTCAAACCCTCCGGAGGTGACATAGAAAGGAACGTCAACTCACTGGCTTGCATCAGCTGTCCCTGGCGCCCGAACACCTGAGAGAAGGTGGCGTCCTGGCTGCAGCAGGTGAGCGTATCCTCCATGACGGCTGCGGAGGCTACAAGAGAGAGCAGGGAGGCGCGTCACAGCGGGATGGACAGAGTGGGGAAGGAGCGGAGAAAGGAAGGAAGGGGGCTTACCTTCCAAAACAACGCCCGCTTCCTACCCGCTGCCGTTGAGGGAGCAGACGCAGCCCCGTTAGCTCGCAGCGATGTGAGCAAGAAGTGCTCGCTGTGCAGATGATGGGAATAAGGAGGGAGGCAGGGAGGCTGGGAGGATGGGGAGAAGTTGTGGGCAAAGGGAGGGGCTGGGGAAGGAGGTGTCAGTGGGAAAGTGCCTTCTTGTATGAGGAAGGCATTGACGCTTCAGGTGGCGGGCTCAAGGATGGCAATGAATGGTTTTTGCATGATTATTTCATACAGACACGGTGTGAAGTTTCACGTTTGTGTCGAAACAACCGGCTACCACAATAAAGTAGTCGTCGTGTTTCTCTGGTCTCTTTGTGTAGGATTTTTTTTCTCTTTTTAACATAAATTTATAGTTAATGCAGAGCTGGGATTCAATTGTGAATTCTGAATTTGTGAAAGATTGGGCTAAAGATAAAATTAGTGAAGTCTTTAGTGCCTCAACAGCAAACAGCTGGACGGTGACATTTTTGTACTTCACGTGTTTTAAGACTTAATCTTTGAAATAGTGTTTGGGTAGATGTATGTCAGCACAGTTAGTATTTCCATCCATACATCCATCCATTTTCTGATCCGCTTATCCTCACAAGGGTCACAGGGCGTGTTGGAGCCTATCCTAGCTGTCTTCGGGCAGTAGGCGGGGGAAACCCTTGAACTGGTTGGCAGCCAGTTGCAGGGCACACATTGACATACAACCATTCGCGCTCACACTCCCACCTAAGGACAATTCAGAGTGTTCCATTAACCTGCCATGCATGTTTTTGGAATGTGGGAGAAACCGGAGTACCCGAAGAAAACCCACACAGGTGGCAGGGGGAAAACATGCAAACTCCACACAGGAAGGTGCACTTCTGCACTGTGAGGCGGACGTGTTCCGAACTTACTTGGCTGATAAATCCTTCTCAGTCGTGCTGTTTCAAAGACTTGGGGGAGGGGCGATTGAGGACGTTTCCAAAATGTGTTTTGTATTTAGTACAGAAGTAGCATCTAGGGATGCTAATTTCCTCTGACTGGAATATGTTTTATATTTCATGCAGAGATGGTGTGAAAGAAATCTGGGCAATTCTTTTGATCGACTGTACATCATTTCCGCCCTATGCCTCCCCTTCATTTCCATACCTTCACTTCACTTCCTCCCCTTCGTGTTCCATTTCATGCAAATCCCCTCCATCCATTCCAAGGCTCGGCCTGCTGCCAGAAACGTCGAGAGGTTAATCGCCGCCCTGTGATGAGGACCGGGAAGTGGGAAATAAATAAATAAATAAAAAGAGAATGAAGAAGAGGAGAAAAGGTCTGAGAAGAAACTGATTAATTAGTTGGAAGTATGTAGCGAAAATTGGGTAATGAGTCAAAACAAATCCCACGCCGTGCGCAACCCAAGGAGATCAAAGAGCACATGCTGGCGTCAAATTACATCAATATAAAATACACTCGCAGGCCTCAGAGGCTCTGTTAGTTTGGGATACAGTTGGCATGGCAACTTCAGACCAACTTGCCACATTCCCTTTTCTAGTTGTAGAGGGGGTGGGGGTGAGGGGGGAGGGGGTCATGATGCTCAAGCTTCTACTCTTTGGCTGCAATGCAGGGTGAAACGAGGTGGCCAGCTGCACGGAATTGCATTTTCATGAAACGAGTGAGAGCGCAGCGTTATGCCACAAAGAAAAATATTTCACCATTTGACAGCCCCTCCCCCCCACCCACACATGTGTGGTGCAACATAAACTACAGTCATAAAGTGCACCGTCGCAGGGCTGGCACATATCGTATGATAACCAAGCGACCCCAACCACCGAGCCCAGCACATTTAGTGCATTGAGATCATCAGGGGTATTACCCAATTTCACGTAATTGGGCTAATAATTATCATTTATTCACTACAAAAAACATCGGTCTTCATATTTCTATGAGGGCAATGTACAGTCCCCTCCAAAAGTATTGGAACGGTGATGTCAATTTCTTTGTGTTGTATACTGCAGACAAGTTCAGGATTGCAGTTTTGATTTGATATTATTTACATCTGGCTGTGTTAAAAAAGTCAGTAAAGAGCACCTTTTGTTTGTTTGGATGCATGTTTAAATTTCAAGACAAAATGCTTTGTTGATTTCAGAATTAATTCTGCTAATACCATCCCGAGTTGCAAAAAACACTTTGAAAGAAGAGTCATAGTGCTCCCTCACTACTTTGAGGTTCAATTATTGCAGATTCACTTTATCGCATCTGTTGCAATTTTACCTCACTGTTGTGGCACATTTTCTTGCCTTTTATGTTGGACCGGTCAAAAAAATGTTGAATTGAAATTTGTTTAAAAACGAGACCATCAAAATTAGACAGCTTGAGCAAGTGCAAAATGTTTACCTGCAAAGATTGTCTAGTGCAGTGCTTCCTAACCTGGGTTCGATCGAACTCTTGGGGTTCGATGAATCCATCTCAGGGGTTCGACAGAGCCTCTACCATAATTAAAAAAGCTTAAGACTTATCTCTTGAGTTTAGATTTACTTACTTCTGTTTTTAATAAACGCATCTTTAATGTCTAGAATTTGTAAAAAAAAAAAAAAAAAAAAAATCCAATTTTTATTTTTCACGAAAGAAGGGTTCGACGATGTGCATATGAACTGGTTGGATTCGGTACCTCTAACAAGGTTAAGAACCACTGATGTAGTGCATTTGAAGTTTATGGTGGCATTTGACCAAAATATCATCCTCTCGCTCCATTTTTTAGACTAGTGTATGCATGCGCCATGGTTTTATTCAAGTTGGGAAAAGCAGGTAATACAAGCCTTACCTCCATCTTGTGGTTCAGAACCAGCACCTCACATACTGCAACACGATGGGTTGCGTTCTAATGAAAGGAAAGCACATGTTCAAGACTTGCAAATAAAAAGCACGCCGTTGTATGTCACGAACAACTTCGCACTCAACCAGGATTTGGAAGCTGACGATGAGATAAACGTGGTGAGAGCAAAAACAGGAACTTCGTGTGGCAGCTGCCATGGAAAAGCGACTACTAAATACTTCACACAAAAACACAGGCAACCCATAGTCAACTAATTACACCACACACAAATCCGGATCAACACTATCAACTAGGTGGCAGTATCGTTCCATCATGATCTTCCTCTTACCTCTCCCACGTCTGTCAGGCATTTTCAAAAGCGAGTACCGTAGTTTTACAATGAAATCGGAAACATAGTTACACTTCTTTTGAGTGTCAAACATCTGCAATGCTTTTGTCGACATTTCGAATTATCCCACAGATAGTGAACTTCTGCGTGTATTAATGTAATTTGATATATTTTCTCTCTCCCACAGTGAATTGCTAACTCATCTACAACCTTGCGTTAGTTGTGCAACAGCCATTCCCCACGTACGTATACGTCATCTTTTTAAAGGCAGTTTTTTGTTTGTTTTATGAGTGCATTTAAAAAAAAAAGTAAATTCCAACCAACATTTCATTTGTGGGCACTTTCCAGTCCAATCTGAAGCACATTTCTTCAGTTTTTTCTTTTAAAAAGAATGGAAAAAAAAATCCAAGGCCACTGTAAGAAACAAATCACTTTTGTTGGGTCAATTATAGCAATATTTTACTTGAGGTCATTCGGGATGTTCATCTTATAACACAACTTTTCCATTAACGCTGCAAGGCAAAACACTTTTTTGATTCATTGTGGAAATATAAATTAGGGTCCATTCATAGTGTTCAATTTACTTTCCCATGTACATGCTACAAGTGTTTCGAGCGGCGTCTGCATTGTCTGTGCTCGATTCACGGAAAAGCGTCATTAAAAACGTGTTTGGAGGGACACCGGCATCCGTTTTGTTACGTTAGGTTGGCATGGCTCTCGAACAAGAATTACATTTAAAAATAATAACACACAAAGAATGTGGGAACAAGAGATACTGTTACACTTAATTTGTCCAAAAATGTTTCAACCACGCATTCTGAACATGACAAGTGACCAATTTACAGCAAAAACAAACAAAAACAAAACATTGATGAATACATTCCATCGTTCAATTCATGAAGCCAATCTTTTACACATTTTGGCAGTTGATTCTAAAGTGCTGCAGGGACGTTTGAGTGACTTTTTTTCTCCTCAAACAAGGATCTATAGCATGTTAAGTCGGCGAGAGGACCACATCAACGTTAGAGCTGGAATCGCCCGCTAACGTCAGTGAAACAAACGGATACGAACAGCCACGGTAAAAACTTGAGATGTCATTGAGATCTCGACTGGAGGAATTAACAGTTGTCCATCCATACACAGGCACGCACACACAGAATTCCTGAGGACCAATTGTTGCAGTCAACTGCCACATTTCATTTCCCCGCACAAATGATAAGCCCATAGAACAATTTTCTACAATAAGACCACTGCTTAAGCTGCAGTGTGACAAAAGATTGCAAAACAAAACAAAATGTATAAATTGAAGCCGGCGGCCACTGGAAGAGACTTGGAAATTTGTCGTCATCTAGATTATACATTATATTTCAACACATGCATTAGGAGACTCTTAGGGAAAATAAAATGTCCAAAATAATCTTAAAACAACCAAACTGAGTAGTAGTAGTAAGCGAGTTTCCCTAACTGATGCATGATTGCCCTTTGCAATAGATCAGCTTTGACAGAGCCCTAATGTTACTGTTTTGGGTCAAGTAATGACACATATTATACACATTTATATATATTAACTCACTGCCATTTACAGTGTGTTTTTCTTTTTTGCAAGGCTGGCTAAAAAAAAAAACAAATGGAGGCTCAGTTTAGTTTGTATGACAAGTGGAAGAAAACGAAAACAGTCCGGCAAGGCAGTCCAGTTATCCTCGTGTGGGACAACAAGAGCCCATGTCCCAGGAACCCGTCGAGGTCAACGTGGCTCACTTACTTCATCAGCATCTCCTGGAACCACACACATAGTTGAATGAAAACATTACAATATATGACACCAATTGAGTGTGCGACTAGCAAGCAGAAAGAAAGCAAGCCGAGAGAACTCTGCATCAAAGCGGCATTTCTGCTTGATAGGTTCGTTTCTCACCTCTCTTTTTTCATATCTGATCATACATTTCAAAAAATAAGCCACGAACATTTAGCGTTAGGGTAGCACGGCATTACAAAAGTCATAAGTCTAAAGTGGCTTGTTTACAGGGCTGATGCTAGCTTAATATTGCGAGAGGTGTGATTTTGTTAAAGGTCTATTCATCACATTTATAGACTTTTAGAAGCGCATGCCATTATGAGTGGTCAGCGGCCAAGTTTGACATTTTTGCTCGTGCACTGAAGCGAGGTTGGTCAGAGACTCAAGGGGCAAAAGAGATTAGGGGAGAGGGGCTTCATTTGAATCTTGCAAGCAGTTTTAACACTGCAAAGTCCGCCCTTGCCCCATTTTACTTGAAAATTTAGAGTCACCCACCGGAGCATCTTTAAGCTCAGGCGCCGGCGCGTCCTCGGATTTGGCCTCCGCAGCGGGGGCTGCCATCTGCGAGCTCCTGGTGACTGGACCGCCGAGCCTTTCCCTCATTCGAAGGGAGAAGCGCTCTTCTTTCTTGGGTTGCGGCGGTGACAATGATTTGGGCTCCGCTAACCTCTTGGGCAACGCTTTGCCAATCCGCTGCATCCTTACAGGTTGCTTTTGTGTCGCGGCGTCACCGGGCGAGTGTGTGGGTGATGTCTGAGCCTGGTTCTTGGCTTTTTTACCGGGGACGGGCGTCGCGGCTGGGAACGAAGCGGGCCTCTTCTGCATACTTTTGCCTTTCGTCGTCTGCGGTGGTTCCGTTAGCTCCGCCGCACCGGAACTACGAGCTCTCGTCTTTCCGAGGGGTTTTAGTTCCGGCTCCGTTTGTGCTGCTTCGCTTTCTTTCTTCCTCATATTTTTATCCGCGCCAGCCACCGCTACTTTTTTCTTGTCCTCAAGTGTTTTCTTGGCCTTTTTTGCGGCGAGCTTCATGGGGCAGCTGACGGCCATGTGCTTGCTGAGACTGGCTTGATAAGTAAACTCCCGGCTGCAGTGGGGGCAAACGGTAGTTTGCTCCTCTTCAACTTTAACGGCGGCCTTCTTAGCTGAGGTGGCGGCTTTATTCTTTTGTGAAATGGCCTTCTGGACCAGCTGGTTTTTCTTCTTACTGAGGGCACTCATTTTTGTTTTGCTCAGGTCCTGATTAAAATTAAGTCTCTTTGGCTGGCCCATTCTTCGGAAGGCACTCTGGCCTGCTGACGGTGACGCGACCCCATTGGGAGACTTGACTATTTGCTTGAGGGGGATGGGGTTCTTTTTGGGAGTGTAGCGCTTCTTGTCGCTGGCATTGGCGCAGGCCAAAATGTGCTGGTGCAGCTCTGGCATGTTGTCAAAGCTGTTGCCGCACTTGGTACAGCGGATGGCGGTGGTGAACGTCTGGGGTATGTTGTGTGTGGTGAAGTTGGTCGCGGAGGCCATGGAGCCGGCGTGGGAACGGCTGTGATAGGGAAAGGGGGGAGGCTTGTAACTGGGGTAATGCTGGTTCTGACCGAGTCGGACGTCGGGGCCTTTGGGCTTTCCGCCCTCGGAGGCCATGATCTTTATTGTGGTGTAGAGCTCCTCATTAGGATCCTCCGCGCCGTCATTCGCGTGATCGCCATTACCGTCCGGCTCTTCCTTTGCAGGCTTTGCATCATTTTGTTTTGGCCCTTCCTCAGGCGCGTCTTGAGCTGGTGTGGAGACGCTGATTTCTTCTTTGGCTCGGGATGGATCGGTGTAATTTTGCGGCCTGAGTTTACCGCTCTCCACGGAGGTATGAGTGCAGGCGTCATTTGGATGCAGATCTTTTTGGTGCTGTTGCAAATTGCAGAGAAAGGCAAACTCCTTGGAACACACAGAACACACGTAGATCGTGCCCACCCCGTGCAGCGTGGTCCGGTGGGCGAGAAGGGCGTCCGCATCGCCAAATAACTGCAGGCAGAATTCGCACTTGAAGGGCCAATCTGACGCGTGCTCAGCAATATGCCCGCTGAGCTCCTTCATGGAGTTGAACGGGCTCTCGCACACATTGCAAACAAAAGTCTTGGAGTAAGTAGAGTTGATTTTTTCGGCGGTGGGGGGATTCGCGGGTTTCTTTTCTAAAGGCTGAGGTGAAGTGTCAACATTATCCCGAGGCACATGGTTTTTGACAGAGGGCTCATCTGTGCAATTCTCACGCTCCTCTTTTATCTTCGCAGGTGGAAGGCTTTGTGGAAGCAGCAATGGGACTGGGTCACGTGACACAGGAAGGGAGGGGTGTGTCGGCAAAGACTCCGGCTGGGGCGAGAGAGCAGCCAAGTCTGAGTCTTCAGACTTTGGAGTTCCTGAGTTGAGGTCTTGGTTAGTTTGACCGTTCGGCAGGCTCCTGCTTGCCTCAGTCAGAGAAACGTCTTGTGTAACGGACAGGCCAACTGGAGAACACTCAGGAGGTGCAGAATGATCGAGGGGATCCTGGAGTGGAGTGTTTGGGGAGTCCAGTGTCTCAGAGTGGTGCTGCTCTTCTTCGTCTTTGTCGTCACCGGCGAATAAACTCTCCGCTTCTTCCGACGGGGGCTGCGGCGACATCTTTGGTGATAGGACAGGAAGAGGCCGCTGGGCTGACGAGTCTGCGGGCTGGGAGAGCGGAGAGTTGGCCATGGCGGGCGGCGAGGGCATGGTGGGGAGCACAGGGGGCGGCGGCGTTGTGGACGTCACACTCGAGGTGCCTGGTGAGGAGGGGTTCATCGTGACAGGGGTTAAGGATGGAGGAGAGGGGTGGGCTGACTCAACATTGGGAGACTGTGGTTGAAAACTGATGTTGCCGGGCAGCGAGGGTCCCTCATCTGTCGGTAAGGGCAAACCCACATACTCGTTCATCAACACCTTTTCAAGCATGCTGGTGTTTGGCTTCCTCTTTTTGACTTGCAGCTGTGGCGCCGCACTTCCCTTTAAGTCCGGATCAGCAACAGTCTTCCGATGCAAGCTCAAATCAAGTGCGGCATCGCTGAGAACCTTGTTGGGGGTGTCGCTTCTTTTACTGACAGTGTTTGACAGGTCCAATGGTTGTTGATTGCAAGCGGCGC